TTTGTTTACTGGGAATGCCATGGTTGTGGAGTATGTAGATAGTGGTGATTTGGATTCAGCTCGTGTTACATTTGATAAGATGGTTGATTCATCTACTTTAGGCATACTTGCCCAGGGCCCTGTCTCAGAAGAGGAAATTAGAGTTGTATTGCAAAAAGCGCCTGTAACCACATTAAATATCTTGTGGACACCATTAAAGCAAGACTAAAGACACAAAAGGTACATATAATTTCCTTTTTACCTAAGACACAGTGGTTACTTGGTTACATGATGTTATGATTGAATTGCTAGGATCTGAATTTTGATTCTGCTAGAAATATATGTCCAGTTGTGGTTATGATTTTCATCTTGAAATAATCATCATAATTCCTCAAAATACACCAAAATGTAAAAAAGTTCATGATGAGACAAAGGCCAAAGAGTAATAAATTGATTGCTCATATCCCAAATGATCAAAGAAATGTTTGCTTATTTTACAAATGAATAACTAATTATTTGCTCATTTGACAAATGAGCAAATTAATGTTTGCTCATTTGACAAATGAGCAAAGAAATGTTTGCGAAATGCTTGTTGATTTAATGAATGATTAAAGAAATGTTTGTTCAATTGACAAATGAACAACTAACTACTTGCTCATTTGACAAATGAACAACTATGTTTTTGCTCATTTGTTAAATTAACAAATAAGTATTTGCTCATTTGATAAACGAGCAACTAACTATTTGCTCATTTACTAAATGAGTAAAAAATTGATTGCCCATTTCTCTAATTAAATGATCATGGTTGCTCATTTCACAAATGAGCAAGGAAATTAATTGCTTATTTGACAAATGAGCAACTAAGTTTTCGCTCATTTGTTAAATTAGCAACTAAGTATTTGCTCATTTGTCAAATGAGCAGATATTTTTGGCTCATTTTGTCAAAAATTAATATTTATTTTTTACTTATTTGTCAAAAATGAGCAAATAATTTGTTAAAAATGAGCAATTAATTTATTAATTCCGGCACACATGAACGTTGTGTGGGAGTTGATCAGGGCCTTGACAATGCGTTATGTGTATGGAACAGATTATAAAGAGGAATGGTATTCGGTTTTCGTGGGGGTTGTAGGATTAGTTCTACCAGGTATTTTTGCTCATAGCCCTAGGGATTATGTCAATTAAGTGAGGCTAGGTAGAGAACACTAGATTCATATAACACATCTTCTGTTTTGTGCCCTCAGATACTGTTCTTGATTAAAGTTTGCACTTAAATGCTTTCATCTCTTCTGAACAAGCTTATAGTTTTGAATAAGGAAAATAACACATTTTCTTTTAAAGTCTTGGACTAATATATTTCTTTTCATTTTTCTTTCCCTCCTGCTAGCTGCTATTTCCTTTCCCTATCCCCTGCCTGTTGCCTTAGTGTCTTTTCTTCCTCCCCTGCCTATTGCTCTAGTGTCTTATCCGCCTCCCCCAGCCTGCTTCCCTAGCGTCTTTTTTCCCCTTACTAGCTGATGTTGCCTTTCCCCCTCCATAGCTTGCTACCCTGTGTTCTTCCCCTTGGTGCTGCTGCCAGTGTTAGACAGACTTCCTGTGTCTCTGCATCTTAAACCTAAATATATTCTCATTCGGCTTGCAGGTGAATAGGTATGTGCGGTTCTTCTTAGACAATTTGTTGAGTCAATCACCAGATCAACAACAAATAATTGCTTATTTGACAAATGAGCAATTAATTTTTTATCATATGTTTGTTAATGTGGCTTTTCTAGTAATTAGAATAGGCAGTATGGTTCCTGATGTGTGTGCGGTAATGTGGAGAATGCAGGTCTCTGCATATGCTTTTTGTGCTGTTTGCATCTTTGAGCTTGCTAACTGAGATGAATGATTAGAAACTGAAGCCTGAGATATTTATACCAAACTTGTTGATTTTTAATTAAACCGATGAGAAACCTTTGTAATAGGATAACACTTGGAACATCATTTCCATGGCCTGAGTTGGTTATTACAGATGCTGGCTAAAGCTTGACTATGCTAATTTCCATGATACTTGTCCATCCAACATTGTCTAGTTAAATACCCGAACATAATATTCTAATTTTGTACGACAGGGGCAAACTTGCTTATAGGAATAAGACTTGCAAATTTTGCCATTAAATTCAAGCATAACATTTAACATGTCCTCTATTATTGTATTATGATAACAGCTATAAATTTCCTTTTCTTGTGAGTTATAGTATTTGGAGGAACATCTATGTGATATTCTGTAAACTTATGAAACTTTAAGAGAATTTGAGGTGTAATTTCTGTACAGATGCGACCGAAGACAGTCTGATTTTATCTCAGACATTTTGTGGTTACCATGGCTTTTTGTAATAACAGTTTGAAGTCTTCTTGCATGAGCATGATTTGAAATTGGTATATTAAAAGCTATCATTGGCATGTATTGTTAAGGGTTTTATATCAGTCTTATCAAAATTTTCAGGTGCTTTAACTGGTGCTATTACTACCCCTCTTGATGTTATTAAGACTAGGCTAATGACCCAGGTATCGTATTGTTCTTAATCTGATTTGTATGGCTCTTCAATTTTTGTTTCACATTTCTTTGCTTGTTGCATGGTCTCTCATAGTAACTCTTGGCATTATAATTTTTCTCCACAGGGATCTACAAATCAGTACAATGGCATAGTCAATTGTGTCAAGACTATTGTCAGGGAAGAGGGTGCCCCTGCCCTTTTAAAGGTAATAGTGTTAGATATACTATTTTGTGGATCAAAGATGGTTTTATACTTTTTAGTTTATACTATATAATTTTGTGACAGTGTGACCGCATATCTGTTTAAAATTCCAAGTAGCTAGATACAAGACTACAAATAAAACTATTTAAAAGATGTTGCAGTTTTTTTTTGAAGATTTAATTTGAGTTACTTAAAAATTTATTCTTAAATATGTCAAGTCACCTTTTCTGCTCCATGTTCCTCAAAGTTTGGCCGTGTAGGAACTAAGAACTAGGAAGTGCAAATTAAAAAGTTGGAACTGTTAAACCAAGATCTTATTCCTTTAAACTTGTTTTCTTTGGCAAGCATCTTAACCACCTGCAGTATTTGGAGTTGGTTTTTGAGAAGGAATTGTGGAACTTATTTTTAGTAGTGCTGGTAAAAACTGTCTGCTAGTTTGCTGAGGCTAAAGCATGTCACCAAGAGTTTTTATGACATGGGCTCTAATGTCAGTTTAAATCTGCAAAATTCACTTAATTTACTCAATATAACTTTTGGTATAAGTTGTAGTCACTATGTTACTATGCCTTACCCATCAAATTAGCTGACAAAACTTACGAATTTGTAGGAGTGCTAGATATAATGCTTTTTTATATGATGCTCTAGAACTGCTTGGCCGTTTAATTATATATAAATCCTGGTAATGAAACGTTTTTTCTTTCTTTTGCTACCCAGGTTGCAGCTACATACTTTCATAACATTTTTTGCATAAGCCGGACATAGCCAATTTCTCAGGAAATTTGGGTATATTTAACCCTTTCTCTTTAATTTCTCAGAAAATTTGGCTATATTCGACCCACTCTCAGAGATGGTCCATGAGGGTGCATTATTCCTCGGATGGATCTGAAAAAAGAACACTTGCATTAACCATTAAACCTTGACACCACGAAGTTCTAATATTTTGTATGAGTAGGACATATGTTGAGACAGATTATGTTGCTAATGTTAGTGGTGACCAAGATGCAACAGGGGCAACACAATTAGGAGTTATTGGCGGTGACCAAGATGCAGCAGGGGCATCACAATTAGGAGTTATTGGTGGTGACCAAGATGCAGCAGGGGCAACACAATAATTAGTTGCTCATTTGTCAAATGAGCAACTCATTTGTCAAATGAGCAAAAAAATTCAATGCTCCTTTGTCAAATGAGCAAACTATTTAATGCTCATTTGTCGAATGAGCAATTAATTATTTGCTAATTTGTCAAATGAGCAATTAATTATTTGCTCATTTGTCAAATGAGCAATTAATTTTTTTGTTCAATTGTCAAATGAGCAATTATTTTTTGCTCATTTGTCAAATGAGCAAAACCATTCAATGCTCCTTTGTCAAATGAGCAAACTATTTAATGCTCATTTTTCAAATGAGCAAATGATTCTTGCTCATTTTGTCAAATTAATGCTCATTTGTGAGTGTGTTTCAATATTTTAAATACGTTAGCCTACTAGCTCAAGGGTAGAGCATTGTGCAAATGCACAAAAGATGTGGGTTCGAATCCCATGTAGGTTTATTTATGTAATGTGGAGACACAAGTTTGTATGACAAATTAATTGTAACAAAGTTTATATAGTTATAAATCATTTCAAACCTTTTTTTTGCTCATATAGTTAGTACGAATTTCATTTTTTTTTTAATTAATTTGGTTTATAAAGATAACCTATGTAGGAATTGAACCTAAATCCCCTATGCATTTGCATAGTGCTCTACCAATTGAGCTAATAGGTTTTATAATCAATCTAACCAGAGAAGTTATTGAATTATATCAGAACAACAATGGTAGGAAACACAATCAAAACACCAATAATACTTGGACATATGGACCTGTGGACTATTTAGTGTTCCTATGGATTTGCAGGAGTCTTGCTACACATAAATGAAATGTTCCAGAAAACCTATACAAAAAGGGCTCTTCCCTAATCATGATCACTACTGACATACACCTATTGATTGCACCTAAATTATTCAAGCCCTAAGGTACATTATCATTAGACAATAAGACGGAGCATACCTGTGTATTTGGTGGCAAAAATGGCAGTTCAGACTTGCCATAATACAACATTTAGATGCAAATATTATGGTTAGTTGAGTACTTGAGCTAGCGCATATGAACATCCTCTTGATCCTCATAATAAAGCCTGCAATTTGTTATATGGAATTGGAAATATGTAGGAAGTTTGCTATTCTCATTTGACAAGCAGTAACATAAGAAAATCAAAATCTAAGAAAATGAATTACAATCTTGCATTCCATGGTTGTTTTGCAAACAAGCAACAACAGTATAGATTTTGTGATTTTCAAACCAAATTAGTATCCTTGTGATTTTTCTTGGTAACAAGAAAGATTGAATACAAAGCCTTGGTACAAACTGTATTTGTTGCACATTACAACATTATTTGAATTTTAAAAACAAACCATAGAGATTGTTTATGTCGTATGATGTAGACATGTGTTATACAAAGAGGAAAAAGATGCAAGATTTCACCCTTAAAAATGGAACTGCTCTAGGAAAATTATTGTTCCCTTCTCCAGATTCTCCAAAGATTGAGAGCATAGACTGGAACCGTATAGGAATGGAATCATCGAGGGAAACTGCTGGCAGGAAAGTTACGCAGTGGGTTTTCCTTAAGTAATTCAGTTTCTCTGCAAGATAGTATTTTTGTTGTAATTTGGAATGCCAAATCAATAACACTTCAATAACAGTTTGGGAAAACATACCTTTTGAGGTTAACCTCTTCCCTGTCCTTCAATTGGGAACTTGTAATGCTTTGAAAATCACCAGTTTGTTGCAATTTGTACGAGATAGTGAAAAATAAATCGCCAGCCTATCAGGGAGTTATAGGTTTCTCATGCAATCAACAAACTGTAAATTTAAGAACTAAGAGTTGCAATTTTCTCATGTTACAATTTAAAAATGATGTATTTGATCATGTTACAATTCTTTGAAGAACTTATTTAGTAAAATTTATACAACTTACATTCACTTTACTAAAATGCATAATCAATACTTACCCTGAACATTCCTCATCAACAAACACCTCAATGGCAGAAGTGGCAACTCTTCCAAGTCTACTGTTGGGCCTCTACATAACCTGTACATAGTAGATTGTTAGATCTTGCTACTGCATCTATCCAGTGTAACAGCCAATCCAAGAGCCAACAGATCTGGCCTTCACTGTGAGCTGCAAACACATATTTATAAGTATAGATTAAAATGTCTAGTATAATGGAATGCATTCAAAACAGAAAAAACTAAATGCATGCAAGCTATGCATCATTTTTACCGTATCAGGAAGAAGATATTGACAATTAACAAACATCATTGATGGAAATTTCTTATTCTTAAGAGCACTAGGTTGTTATTAGCTCATGCCAATGTGCCATACAGCATCACAGAATCCTTCAAAATAAGTACGTAACTTATGACGTAACTCACATATACTTGCAAAATTTTCCAGATGCTAGCAGTATTATAGTATACTTGCACAGCTTGTAGTCTTCCTATAAAAACTCACAATTCACAACTCTCCGTAGATCAAATTTTTGGTTTTCGGTTCCAAATAGGACGTTAGGAACGATTTTCCACAACATTCTAAGCTAGGTAGTACCATCTCATAACCTTCACCATTGAAATGCCTTCAATTATTCTCATAACCTTCACCATTGAAATGCCTTCAATTATCAACTAAAATACCAATATTTAACTTTAAAAACTAGTCCTATCAATTACAGCATAATACAATTCATTCATGCAATAATCAGAAACATGATTAAACAACAAATATTCGATATCATCTGCAGCAATTATCAAACTGCATGTACCCTAATTTATCTCAGGTGGAATTTTTCGTAGCAACAACAACAAAAATACAAATTCCAGATAATAATTGATCATCTAAATTCGAAAATCAAAGCGATAATACAATGAAATCAACAGGCAAAACAATTAAATCAAACCACAATCTCAAGAAATTCGCCGGTCAAATTACTGACCTACTGGCATAGGCAACGGGAGCAATGCCGGAAACAATACGATTGAAGAGGACGGCGAGGAGAGAGAAACCGCGACATAAATTCGCAAGCTACGAGCGACATTGTTGTTGACAGAGACCCAGTCAGCGACCAAATTTGTGGTCGGTTTCGGACCATTGTACCCTTCCGTCTATATAATAAGCTCTAATGTTGTTAGTATAAAAGCTTGCAAAAAAGCTTGAGGTCCAAAAATGGCGGAAATAGAGAGGAGGGAGAAAGGAAGTACCTGGAAAGAGTTGGAAATGGAGAGGACGAAATGGATATGGAGGTCGTTTGATGTGAGTCGTTGATGAAATTTGATCCTAAGGCATAGATTTGTTCTCATATATTAGTAGTGTTCTCACACAAGGACATGTTCTCACCGGATCCCGATCCTATACATATATATATATATATATATATGTATATATATATATACATATACATATATATATATGTATACATATATATATGTATACATATATATGTATATATATATATACATATATACATATATATATACATATATATATACATACATATATATATATACATACTGATTAGGGGATTTTGCTCCCACCAATCGGAATGCGCCACGTGGGCCAATCAGGTCCTGCCAAGTGTCCCCCAGTTGGAACTGTCAGGGTTTTCCACGTGGCACACGCTTATTCGTCCACCTTGGACCTATTATGTCATGACACGTGGCATACTCCATGCCTAATGGAGAAACCGGCCACCCAGGCCCAACTTCCGAGGGAAGCCCAATCAGCCCTAGGTTAACCTAAACCTAGGATTGACACGTTTCCCAAGGTTATAAATACCTCCCTTAATCCTCATTAAGGGGGATTACATGAATTACATGCTGATCACGCTAAAAAAGCAAATTACATACATTAAACACTCTCACCTAGAGAGACCCAATCACTTTAATTTCCGCATTAATTATTCCTTAATCAAGTACTAACTTGACCGTTGGAGGCGGAGCTCCCACCACCAGGAGTCTCCGTTGTTTTGCAGGTACAGGCGTCCGGTTCCAGTCTCGGAATTGTAACTCTCCCGCAGGACATCAGAAAACCCCGAAACATTTGGCGCCGTCTGTGGGGAGAGTACTTCTGAGATGGCATCCAAGTCTGTACCGACTCCTAAAGAGAGGCGTCCCCTAGACGACCCTCAAGTTCAGTCGGACCACGATACTGAGAATGAATTTGAAGTTGAAGCTCACACAGCTTCAGACGGGACCCTAAGGGCCCGACGTACCCGTCATACCGAAAGGAGGGAACGGGAACATCTTCATACAGGAAGCGAGCCAGCAGGCACACCGCCTGTTCGGAAACAGCCGACTGATGGGTCTGCTCCCATCACAAGGAGTGAACTCATGACCTTCATGAGGGACTTCAAGGGAGAAATTCAAGAGTTGATCAACAAGAAGCCGCCTGCTCTTGACAAGGAGCAGTCGGCTAAGAAACCCTCCACTTCACTGAAGAGGAAGCCAGTTCAAGGGCGAGAGGCGACTCCTCATCCTAAATATAGGAAGCGGGAGCCGACTGCCCTTGATTTAACAAAATACCGTTTTCCTACTCCAGGAAATAGGAAACCTGTTCGTCATATTCAGGCGGATGGGTCGAGGAAATCATACACAGACGCTCGGCTACTGCTAGAGCAGAAGAAGAGTGACCGATTGTCAGCGTCGGCCTCTACTTCAAACTTCCAAGACAGTCTGCGAAATACCTCAATGAGGCATACTCAGTCGTATCATGAGAGTCAGTCAGGCGGCACCTCCCGTCAGTCCGGCTTTCATAGCGACCAGGTGGTACCAAACTTACCGTTTGTGCCGCAACAACAGTATTTTTTACAGCCACCTCCGTTTGGTGGACATGCAGCAAAAAATGTCCAACCTATGGACTGACAGCTACGGTTGCTTAGACTTGGTGAACAGCCGTCGGCCTTCTCTAAGGAAATTACTGAAGCCGCTCGGCCGGCCAAAGTGAAAAATGTATTAGTAGGCGCCTATGACGGCACTACTAACCCAGAAGACCATCTTATGGCCTTCACCAACCTGATGTACCTTCAAGGGTTGGATGATCCCACTTGGTGCAAGTGTTTCCCAGCGACTCTCAAAGGAATCGCACAACAATGGTTCGGCAACCTGTCGACTGGTTGTGTAAATAGCTTCAAGACGCTTGCTTATTTATTCACCTCCAACTTCGCCATGAACATCCCTGCGAAGAAGACGACCCTTGATTTAGGAACAATTCAGCAGGGCGAGAAGGAGGGGCTTCGTTCTTACATCAGGCGGTTTAACCTGATGAGAATACAGACTCAAGGGTTACCGGATGAAGTAGCCTATACTGACTTTTTCAAAGGTCTCAAAGACGGGTCGACCTTCAAATTTGATTTGGTCCGAAAGAGGGTGGCGACTCTTCAAGAGGCCTTGATTGAAGCGGAAGCCTATATACAGGCGACTGATCTTTGTAGTACGGTAAAACTGTCGGACGGGAAAAGGTTCGACAAAAGAGAAGGACGACAGAAACAGTCGTCAAACAAAGACGAGAAGAGAAAAGAGGTCTGGGCGGCTGATTCCTCTAAACAGCCGGCCCTGAAAAAGAAAAAGAATTCAAACCATACTCCCCAAAGTATGCGTTTAACAAGGATAGCCAATTTATCCTAAAGGAAATCAAGGGACGGATCTCAATTGAGAAGCCGGTCCCCATGAAGGGTTCTGCAAACAACCGGAACCAAGAAAAATTATGTGCTTATCATGAAGATGTTGGTCATCACACCAATGATTGCATCAGTCTCATGCGGTATCTAGACCGCCTGGCTGAGCAAGGTGATCTTGACATTTATGTCAAGAAATCTACGGGGAACACTTCCTCAAAGAAGCAGTCGGCCAAAAAGAATCAACAGGCCGACAACTCCGATACAGATGATGCAGTCGTCTACACCATTGCAGGCGGCTTCTCAGGAGGCGGCCCCACTATTAGGGGCAACAAAGACAACATCAGACGGTTAGATGTAAATTCCGTTCACCAAGAACGGCCCTCCAAATATTCATTTCCTGAGATTGTCATCACTGAAGAAGATCTAGGAGGGGTAAGAGGGCCGCATGACGACCCTATCGTTATTGAATGTAAAGTGGCCAACCAGAGAGTTGGCCGAATCCTCATAGATACCGGAAGCTCCTCAGATCTCATCAGTAGAAAATGTCTGTCGAAACTAAAATATCAGACTAATTGCATACATCCGGCATCCCACCCTTTAGTAGGGTTTGGAGGAGGAGTCGTCCACCCACTGGGACGAGTGGATTTACCCATCCGCCTGGGCGAAAAAGGGGAAGGACGACACATGGTAGTCCGGTTCCTGGTAGTAGAAGAACTCTCGGCCTACAACATGATTCTGGGACGACCAACCCTGAATAATTCCAAGGCTGTTATAATCCCATCTCTTATGTTGCTCAAGTTTGAGAGGGATAATGGAACAGTCGGGTCCCTAAGGGGAGATCAGAAGATGGCCCGAGAGTGCTATCTCTCGGATGTCAAGCCCACTGTTATGGCCACTGGGTCAAGTGGTGGAAAAACAGACCTTGACAATGTCAAGGAGAGTGCACCTGTTCAAGAAGCAGGCGGCAAGAAGAGAAAGGCATCCCAGACAGGGGCCGCAAGAAAAGACAAAAAATAGCAATCATTGGCAGAGGAGCGGTCGGATGAATTCCGCCCTCAGCCGGCTGGTGAGCATACGGACTTGATCTTAGACGACTCACGTCCTGAGCGAACAGTCAAAGTTGGGACGACTGCTCTGAGAGACCTTGGTGACGACTTTCACAAACTATTGAAAGAATACAAGGACATCTTTGCATTCGAAGTCCATGAAATGCCAGGCATTAGTCCTGATCTGGCGGTACATAAACTGGCCGTGGATCCGAAAAAGAAGCCGATACGGCAGAAGAAGCGGAACCATGGCGAAGAAAGAAGTCAGGCGGTAGCCGCCGAAGTTAAAAAATTACTTGATGCAGGGTTCATTCGGCAATGTTACTTCCCAGACTGGGTTGCAAATGTGGTGCTTGTTAAAAAGCCGAATGGCACCTGGCGAATGTGTGTAGACTACACAGACTTAAACAAGGCGTGCCCCAAAGACAGTTACCCTCTTCCTAAAATTGATAACCTGGTCGACTCAACAGCCGGCCATGCTTTGATGAGCTTTATGGACGCCTACTCTGGTTTCCATCAAATTCCTTTATGGAAGAAAGATCAGGAGAAGACGGCCTTCGTCACTGATCAGGGGTTATACTGTTACACGGTCATGCCGTTTGGTCTAAAGAATGCCCCAGCCACTTTCCAGCGAATGATAAACACTGTGTTCTTTGATCAAATTGGGAGAAATGTCGAGGCATATATTGATGATATGATTGTCAAGTCTAAACTTCAGAAAGATCATCTGTCGGACCTCCGAGAAACTTTCGCCACACTCAGGCGGCACCATGTCATGCTCAATCCCAAGAAATGTGTCTTTGGAGTTGAGTCTGGGAAATTTCTCGGATTCCTTATCAATTAGAGAGGAATAGAGGCGAACCCTGAGAAGGTGTAGGCGGTCATTGACATGCAGTCGCCTCGTACCATCCGAGAGGTTCATAAGTTAACAGGTTGTCTGGCGGCCTTGGAAAGATTTCTAAGCCGATCAGGAGACAAATGCCTATACTTTTTCCAGGCAATTAAGAAAAAGGCAAGGTTTGAATGGGGGGCCGGATGCTGAGGCGGCCTTCCAGAAATTGAAAGTTCACTTGCATTCCTTGCCGAGGCTGGTCAGCCCTTTGCCCAAAGAAGTACTCTACATGTACCTGGCCGTCTCTGATCATGCGTTAAGCGCTGTTCTCCTTGCTGAAAGGGACGGCTGTCAGCTACCGGTCTAATTTGTCAGTCATGTACTGAAAAATGCCGAGTTGAGGTATCCCTTAGTGGAGATATTTGGTCTTGCACTCTTCATGGCTGTTAAAAAATAGAAGCCCTACTTTTTGGCACACGCAGTCGTCGTGTATACAGACCAACCTATCAAGCGGCCACTGACCATCATGGAGTCGTCAGGTCGAATGATCAAATGGGCCATAGAAATACAGAGCCTCGAAGTTACTTTCGAGCCTAGAAAAGCAGTGAAGGGGCAAGCCTTTGCTGACTTTATTGTTGAGATGATTCGTCCTCCTGACTCTCAAGTTCCAGACCAAGTCTGGAAGGTATATGTGGATGGAAGCTCTACTTCAAATGGTTGTGGAGCAGGCGTCATATGTCAGTCGCCAGAGGGCGACAAGTACGAGTATGCTCTACGCTTCAGTTTTCAGGCCTCAAACAATGAGGCAGAATATGAAGCTTTACTAGCCGGAA